TATATATTACTTTTTTTTTGAATATACATATATTTTACATTTAACACTAAACATGAAAGTCGAGCTCACAACTAAATTAGCTTATTTTTTTAAATCATTCTGTGTTTATAAAAATATTTTCACAATTAAATTACATACATATAAATTAGTTCTTAAATTACATTTGCTTATAATTACTTATTTTACATAGCGAAGACTTTTTGTTGCAGCTTGAACAAACGTCCGTCCGTCCGTCCGATATAATAGGATGTCCTTTGACTTCTGTTTTTCTCCAAGAATTCATCTTACGCGCCCATTGATTTAGCCTTTTGTAACCTACGGAAAATAGCGATTTCAATAAAGAAAGTTGAATAAAGTAAATATATAATAAAAGTACAAAACAGTTGAATTGGCGCTAGCGGAATCTAAAAGCAGTTGCTTTATAAGCTTTACTCGCAAAAACATTGACAGATAAAAATCCGGTAGCGAAATGACCCCAGCTAAAGGCTGTCGGTACAGTCGCTAAGTGCCACCTTAGCGCTCTTCTTATTATACTCACTTCCTCCTCAGCACCTTGAGCACTATAGCACCCTCGCGCACATCCTTGAATAGGCGTATTGTTTCCGCGTGGCTCATTCCTTGCACGGACGTGCCATTAATTTCGACAATCTCGTCGCCTGAAATTAACAAAACAAATATTATTTCACTAAGCTCGCATTTTACCAATACCATATTTTAACTGTAATTTCGTTTTCAAAAAGTAGTTTTTAATATTTTTTTTTTTATAAAAATTTAAATATTTTAACAAATTTCTTGTAATATTTTTGAAATTTGGCTCTGAAAATTTATATATATTTATATACATACATACTTTTTTTTTAATTTTCCTTATGTTATTTTGAATTTAGCAAGTTTCATGAAAGCAATTAAATTTTTCACTCAAAATGCTGGTAAACCCTGCAGTAATACTATAATTATATTTTTAAATCTGGTTTCTTAAATTTTTCACAACAATTTTTTAATTATTTATTTATTTTTTTTGTAATATGCATTCGTTTGAAAATCATTCTCGAAACTTTATTATAATAAATTATATTCATTCTTCTAAATCAATTTTTATTTGCTTTTATTTAAGAACAAATAATGTATAAAAAAATCGATTCGTACGCGAATAAAAATGCAAGCTCGCATTTTTCAGTCCCAAAAATATTTTTATTGATTGTTTTTAAAAGAAACAATTTTTTTTCGATTCTTAAAACATTTTCATGAAAGTCACTTCCAAAAATATTTGTTAACATTTTTCTATGCTTGCGTTTTTAATANATTTAACACTAAACATGAAAGTCGAGCTCACAACTAAATTAGCTTATTTTTTTAAATCATTCTGTGTTTATAAAAATATTTTCACAATTAAATTACATACATATAAATTAGTTCTTAAATTACATTTGCTTATAATTACTTATTTTACATAGCGAAGACTTTTTGTTGCAGCTTGAACAAACGTCCGTCCGTCCGTCCGATATAATAGGATGTCCTTTGACTTCTGTTTTTCTCCAAGAATTCATCTTACGCGCCCATTGATTTAGCCTTTTGTAACCTACGGAAAATAGCGATTTCAATAAAGAAAGTTGAATAAAGTAAATATATAATAAAAGTACAAAACAGTTGAATTGGCGCTAGCGGAATCTAAAAGCAGTTGCTTTATAAGCTTTACTCGCAAAAACATTGACAGATAAAAATCCGGTAGCGAAATGACCCCAGCTAAAGGCTGTCGGTACAGTCGCTAAGTGCCACCTTAGCGCTCTTCTTATTATACTCACTTCCTCCTCAGCACCTTGAGCACTATAGCACCCTCGCGCACATCCTTGAATAGGCGTATTGTTTCCGCGTGGCTCATACCTTGCACGGACGTGCCATTAATTTCGACAATCTCGTCGCCTGAAATTAACAAAACAAATATTATTTCACTAAGCTCGCATTTTACCAATACCATATTTTAACTGTAATTTCGTTTTCAAAAAGTAAAGTTTTTAATATTTTTTTTTTTATAAAAATTTAAATATTTTAACAAATTTCTTGTAATATTTTTGAAATTTGGCTCTGAAAATTTATATATGTATACATACATACTTTGTTTTTTTTAATTTTCCTTATGTTATTTTGAATTTAGCAAGTTTCATGAAAGCAGTTAAATTTTTCACTCAAAATGCTGGTAAACCCTGCAGTAATACTATAATTATATTTTTAAATCTGGTTTCTTAAATTTTTTACAAAACCATTTTTTTTTTTTATTATTTATTTATTTTTTTTTGTAATATGCATTCGGTTGAAAATCATTCTCGAAACTTTATTATAAAAAATTATATTCATTCTTCTAAATCAATTTTTATTTGCTTTTATTTAAGAATAAATAATGTATAAAAAAATCGATTCGTACGCAAATAGAAATGCAAGCTCGCATTTTTCAGTCCCAAAAATATTTTTATTGATTGTTTTTAAAAGAAACTATTTTTTTTCGATTCTTAAAACATTTTCATGAAAGTCACTTCCAAAAATATTTGTTAACATTTTTCTATGCTTGCGTTTTTAATTTTTTATAGGAAAACAGTTTATTTGTTAGCTGTTTATAAAAATTACCATTACTTTAAAAAATAGTTTATTTTATGAATGTACTTATGTATGTATTTTCTAAACTTCTTTTTCATAATTTTATTTTGCTATTTTTTTTTCATTATATGTTTCTGCCCGCAATTTTTTATAAACAATACCCAAATTTGCCTTGACTTACCCGCCTGCAGCGTACGATCATCGGCCGCTTGCCCGGATGGGAATACGGTCTTAACGAAAATACCCATATTGCCTTTAGGTGAATCACGTCCGCCAACAATGCTAAAACCCAGCGATTTCATGCCGGGTCCCTTGAAATACGTTATAGTCTTTTGTGTTGTACAACGGCTGGAACCTATTAAAATTTGGTAAGTTATAAAAAAAACTTAATTTTAATAATAAAAAATACGATATGCGGTAAGTTCAGTGCATTTAATATAAGAAAATATTGAGATTTCCCCAGAATCTACATTAAAAGCGCAAAAATCGCATGCGAGAAAAAAGTTTTGTGACATTTTTGCCAGATTTTCAACATTCGAAATTGCACCAGGCGCGCAGGGGCGCTCAGTAGGTGTACGCGGTACATTTCCGTCTGCAGGTGTTGCCTACGTTCAGGCGCTGGAGGTTGCGGAAGTCGGACAACACAGGGTACTCAGAAGGAGAAATTTATTTACTTTTTTTATAAGAAATCTGGGGAAATTTTTTTTTATTATTTCCGCTTTGTTAATGACTTAGTTTTGTGAATTATTTAATAGAAAGCGCAATCATTTGAAAGCTTGTTTTTAGTATTATGTTTGTTCTTCAAGAGTTAGAAAGAATACCAATTTAAAAACGTTTTTGAAAAAGGCTTGGAGCTCCTGTTTTCTATTTACAAATTATTGTATATTTATCTGTTTTTCGATTTTTTTTTACGTTCTTAACCTTCCTGTACCCGGTCACCCCAAACTCACCGTCGCTCATCGAGGCGCGTATGACTTCGGCCATTTCTTCGTCGCGTATTGTTAGTTTCGCGGCGGGCAATGAAGGGCGATGATATTGTAATGAGTTAAGGCAGCTGGTTGTTGTTAGAGGCTTTGTACCTGTTGCCGCTGTTGTTGTTTTTGTAGTCGAATTATTCGTAGCGGTTAATGCTGTTGGCATAGAAGATGTTGGTACAGTTAAATGTTGTTGATACAAATGTAATTGCGTTGCAGGGTGTCGCTGGTTGTGTTGTTGTTGTTGTTGCTGTTGGTGATGGTGATTTTGTTGGTTTTGGTGGTGTTGTTGTTGTTGGTAAGATATGAGATGATAAGTATTAGCATTTGTATTAGTGTTGTTAGTGAGATCGAAGGACGCCCGCCGTTGTTGTTGTTGCCTTCGCTGGCTACTCGCATCATCGTCGGTGGTATTGGCGCACTTTCCTGAGGTCTTCGCATCCACAGTACTGGTTGTTGCCACCTTCGTTGCTGTCACTGCCGCTGCCGCTGCTGCTACCGCCGTCTTTGTTGTAGTCGGCGTCGCGTTTATTGTTGTTTGTGTTTTAGTATTATTTGTACTATTAGTGGCTTTGGAGTTTTGGTAAATACAGTTATTGTTATTTGTTGCTGTGGTTGTTAGTCTATTGGCCTCAGCGGTAGCGCCGCCGCCGCCACTTGGCTGTGGCTGTGGCTGTATAAACAAACTCAGACGCGACGAGCTGAGCCGCGAATGGGCAAACCGCAGCGAACGATAGTGCGAGTTGGACAGGTTGATGGAGTTGCGCGTGTAATGCGTGCGCGAAGGAAATGGTTGCGGTTGCGGTTGCTGTTGATCGCCTGAACCATCGGCAGCATCCGCAAATGTACTCGTCGTCGATGGCGCAGGCGTACCATAAGTCAGCGACGCACTACGATTGCCCGCCACGCGTCCACAACCTGCCAGCAGCTCGTCCTGCGATTGCTGTTGAACGCGCTGTAGCGCCGCGCCCTCAGAGCAGCGCTTGCGTGTCAACAGCTGCCACTTCTCATCGTCGCTGATCGTGTGCGTGGCCAGTGAAATGCTGGACGCGCGGTTTGCATACACCGGCGTGTACTCAGTGTTTGCGGTGCACAGCGGCGTCAGCTCGAGATTGCGTTGCCCGGAGGATGAGCGCGCGCGTCTACGCGTATGTTCGGCTACAAACTCACCACTACAAGCCGCTACATCCATGGAGTGCCGCGGTGTGGAGCAACGTCTATGCTGCATCAACGGCATGGGCGTTGGCATCGAACTGAGCGAATGCATTGTCGCCACACTGGCCAGTGAGCGCGCATCATCATCCACATCCAGCTCACTGGCGGCGGAGTCCACTACATCGGAGGATGGACGTCGCGTTTCACGTTGCCGTGTCTGCTCGTTCTCCAGCGCCAACTGCAGGCTATGTAGATCATAACTGTTGATGCTATCCGTGCTCTGAGTACGCTGCGTATAGCTGAGACGCTTGCGCGCGCGCGCCATATACTCGCTCTGTGGGTTGGCTGAGGGCGGCGCCGACGCTGGCGCTGGTTCGCTACTACCGGCATGTAGAGACTGCAGGGAATTGTATGCTTGTGCTGAACTGCCGTCGATTTTGATTTTCGTATAGAAATCAGTGACTGTAGCGACCTCGTCATGTGCGATCACCAAATCGATGCAGTTGTTCGCGAACGTCGAGAGTAGGCGCTGCACTTCGGCGAAGGACTGCATGCCACGCAAGTGTTTACCGTTCACGTTGACAATCTCGTCGCCCAAGCGCAGGCGGCCATCTCTGTGCGAGAGGAAGAGAGAGAGAGAGAGATAAATAGAAAAATTATAAATGTTTTTTAAAGTACATAGTGTTTTTATGCTCTACACTATTTTGGTTCAGGANGAGAGAGAGAGAGAGAGAAATAGAAAAATTATAAATGTTTTTTAGAGTACATAGTGTTTTTATGCTCTACACTATTTTGGTTCAGTCTTCACCAGTTTACTTACTTCTGGGCCATGCCGTACGGATCGATCTCCACTATCAGGTAACGGTACTGCTGTTCGTTCGTTGAGGTCATGACAGTCTTCGGTGACAACACCAGCCCAATGCAGTCTTCCTGACACTTTCGCTCCAATTTTATCTGCCGGAATCGTCTGCGTATCGTCTCCGTCTCGTAGTCGTAATTGTAGCCACCCAATGAGACTGAGCCGCTCGCCGTGCTGCATATGCTATTACTACGTATACCGCCACATCCCACACCGCTCTCGGATGAGGTCAGTGAAATCAGCGAGTTCCTCTTTAGCGTACCCGACGCAATAGATTCTGTATCTCCACAGGAGATACCAAGATTATTGCCCAGCAGTTGTACATTCGTGGTGTTCCCAACGAAAATAACACTGCCGCACCCGCTTTCACTACTTCCTACGATGACGCTATTGGCGCCCACGCCTACACCACCGCCACCTCCCCCGTCACTGTCGTAACCTGACTCGTTCGAACTCAGACAACTACTTAATCTTTGGTAAAGTGGTTCCCAGTCCTTGGAGGAGACGCTATTGTTGCGCGACACTAATACCTCGCCAACGCCGCCGCTAATCATCATACCGCCAGTGCCGGACGTCTGCTGTGGCGAACAGTTGCTGATCGCACTGTCGTCCGAGGAGTAGCGCTTGATCAGCGCGCCATTCCGATAAATCACCTTCTGTTGGTGATTTGGAGAAGTGCTTGCCAGCGATATAGAGTCCATGGCGCCTTCGGCCAACGCTGCGGCTTCACTGGGCAGCAACGGTGTTGAGTTGCGATGCTGTGGAACTGGTGAATACTGCTGACCCACCTGTAGGTACTGCGCAGCTGGATGCGGCATCTCTTGCACACCACCAGCGCCGATTGTGTGCAAACTGCACAGTGATGGCTGCTTCATCACCGAACCGCCGTTTTCTTCAGGCAACACCGAAAGGCGCGAGCGTAGAAAGGCGTAAGGGAAAGCGCCGCGTCGATTAGATGACTCTTGCCCAGCAACGCCGGACTGGGAGGCCACACCTTGCGTCTGAACGCCAATCGCTGTGGCTTCCCCACTCGGCGAAGTGCATGTGCCCACTTTGGCGATGTCATCGCAGCTGCTCGACTTCAGATTTGTTGCTGCGTTCGTGGCACCCTTTTGCAGTTTGCCCTGCCGGTTGTTGGCCAAGTTCAGGCCCTCCGTCGGATCGTCGCACTTGATGTATGACGAGCTGGTCAGCTGACTAGTGGAGCTGCTGCGGTACAAATTGCTTGCAGTCGAGCCGCTCGGTTCGGCGGCCTTAATCAGATTGTGGGACTTGTGGTTGAGCATGCCGGTAGAGCCGATGCGGTGGAAGAAATTTTTGATAGCTTTCTGTGAGCGGTGTTGTGCGTTCGGTTGTGTTGGTGTTGACTGCTGGTTGTTGCCAGCGTTGGCGTCCTTCGATTTCTCTTGCTTCTGGTGTATGTGGCCATTTTGTTGTTGCTGTTTGGGTTGTCGGCTTTGTTGTTGCTCATGAGTCTGCTGTTGGTTCTTCTGCTGCTGTTTTATCGTCTCGATAGGTCCGGATTTGCATTTCTTCAATGTGTGCGTCTGATAGTTGTCCTTGACGTTGTCATTGTTATTGTTGTTGTGTGTGGATGTGTGAAAGAGTGAACGAAGATCGGTGTGCGACTTGTGCGTGTTGGTGGTGTCGCTGCGCTTCAATATATCCAGCTTACGGCTCATGCGCTTGCCCCAGGTGAAGACTGTAAAGAGGGAAAGAAGAAAAGGTGATGCGTGATTGAGACGATGACGAAGTATGTTTCAAAACAGCAGGACAGACTAATTAGATACAATAGTAAATGTAATGGCGAAGGTAATGCAGCTAGAAAAGATAATGGTATTGGCACAATAACGATAATAGTAATGGCAATTGGTTCCCAGCGAAGTTTTTGGCTCTGGTTTTTTATTCACATTGAATTGCCGGTAGAACTGAAAATAGTTTTCTTTTCATTAATAAAATAATAATACAGCAATAACCTATAGTAACTTTATTTCCTTTTCTCATTTCTCTCTCTCTCTCCCCCGCTGCTGACCCACATTGCTGACCTATTTTACCATATCCTTCAATCTTATCTCATTCAAACGATTCACTAAGCCTTTATCCACACGCCCATTACTACTCTCCTCCGCTAAGTCAATATGGCCGTATTCTGCCTACTGCATGCCTTCGGCGCTAGTCTAATTCTATCGCTACCTTCCAATCAAATTTTTAGCGCTGCGCAGTAACCGCGATTAGCCGCTGGTTAAAAATATTGCACAGCTTCTGCAAGTGCACCATATGCCAGCCGGCTGGCCTCGCAGAAACAGAGGCATAGGAAATACAAAATCACAAGCGGCTACTACAAAAAAATTTTACAATTTGAATATTCTAATCTGTTTGCGCCTACGGTCGAATATCGGTTGATTTGCGTGCCTCCAATAGTGGGCACATACATATGGACGCGTGTACATATTTACCGGTGTGCTTTCTTTGTTTGAACATTCAATGAGCGCGTGGGCTGTGGTGAGACCATCAATTATGTTGCAGCCGTCATTGGTAAACAGGCAGCGCGACGGACAAAAAAATTGACCGTTTCAAATGAAACCATGCAGCAAAATATCAGGCACAAAAAACTTGTCTACAGTAGAGGTCTAAGTAGCCAGAAGGGAAATTGCGCTGACTATGTGATTGGCCGACTAGTTACCTCGAGCACCCATTTAGTTGAGTTTGATATCGGTGCCTTCGGGTTATAAAAGCAAACTGTATACACAGATAGCATACATGAATTCAAATCAAATCAAGCAGTTGTGACCAGACTATAGCGATTTCAAAGTAGAGTTCTTGGTATTCACTGTGGCGCGTGCTGACATCTTGCACAGTGGCTGGGAGTGCAAATAATCGATTTAAATTTTTTTCCAAGCACACTGTTTTACAGCAAAAACAAAAATTAGCTTTGACACAGTCTCTGTAGCCCTCTTCTACTACCTCTATTAGAATGAATGAACGAGATGAACACAAATGCCAATTCGTAATTAATCTGTCGACCCTTCTTGTAGCTTGCAACTTGGTAAGCGCATCCTTTTTCCCGAGACTTCGTTGGTGTGTCACCGATAGAGAGTTCAGCGAACAACTTCGGCACTTGGCGAAAAGTAAAAAGGCGGTCAAGTCGGCTGCTTACAGCCAAGAAGGTTAGGTTATGCTAAACAGACAGCTTTAGTTAAGAGTTCATTCGCGTCCGCAAAACTCCATTGTAATGCCCACGAGAGGATTTTTTCCACGGAGTTCTTAAATTTCTTTAAACCCTCCCGATTTATGAATCCGAGTAGATTCTGTAATAAAGTTTTTACTAAAGTATATATTGAAGGTCTCGAAAAAGTAGAGTGGTGTATACGAAAAAGAATTGTTTAATGGATTTACCACTTCTCCATCTCTGCAGCCTCTGTAGACATCGGTTTTCTGGTCTCCGATCTGGCACTCCGTTGAGAAGACGAAAGTTCTGTTTTTAGAGGCTTAGCAAACTCTGAGTTCTTCGTTCTAAAAGCAGTGGCGACGTGAGCGTGAAACTTAGCATGCAACAGATTAGTCCAGTTGCTTGTAGCTGACCTAGGAATTTTCTCAAATCGTGAGAACGAAGGTAGATGGCTGCTTTGCCACCATATCGATTGGATATATTTAAGCCTGGAATACACTAAAGTAATCTAGAACTCTAAAAGTAAAGAGAAAGTGAGCTTCGAAGTTGCGCCTAAAGTCAACTTCTCTGATCTGATAAGCGCACTCTCGGTACTCCAACTCAACTCTGTCAAAAAATTAAGCATGGCCACTATCCATTGTTGCTGGGGAAGCGCGAGTTACAGCGGCGACCGTTGGAATTTTTATTAAATACGCGGTCTGGCAGAACGAGTTTTTGAAGAGTCTTCGAGCTATACCTCTACCTAGATACGTTGTGAAGATCCCAGTCGCGAAAGTAATTCAATAAAATTCTTTTTATACCAAAGCAGCAATCTGTTAAAGCTCCCAGCACTGGGATTTTGGGCGATTCCAAAACAGTACGCCAGTGATTTCTCTACCTAGTCCTTCTCCACCTGGTCTTTCCAACGCAGAGGAGGCCTCTTCCCCTATTAACAGCATCGCGACCAGCGTTGAATACTTTCAGAGCTGAAGCGTTTTTGTCCATTCGAACGACATGACGTAGCCAGCGGAGCCGCCGAATTTTAATTCGCTGCATTTTAGCACGAAGTGGGGTTTCGGGGAAAAGAGCAATCCTTCATTTTAACTAACACAGCTTTAAAAAAGCTTGTACAGCTCGGAATCGCTCTTTGAGGACAGCTCATCCATCAGAAAGAAACTCCGTAGATCGGAAACGAGTAAGCAAGATTTGACGTCTGAATGTTTTCCTTTTTGTGCCACAGTGAATCGCTGGATTGCATCTTGCCTCAATAGCAGAACCACTAACAGTAAAAATAAAGAAGATATTGCCGCAACAAACGCCACAAAATCAAATGCTATTTGCAGCTTGGCGTTCAAACAAAATTACCGATTATTTTGTGTTCGTCTGCGCCTGCGCCTGTGCAGCTCCCATTACATTGAGACGCAGCTGCGAGCAGCCCGTGCCAAACACCTTTTTTTTGCGCCATTCGGGTATTTGTTGTTTTTGTTAACAATGCTCCACATTCTGATGAGGCAAGTTATTGATAGACGAGACGTACAGCACACACTCTAACTCACACTTAGGCATCCGACGCTTAGCCGCCTGAAGGCTTCAAAAATATTGGCTTAGTAGAAGCCGCAACAATGCAGTCGGACACCGCGGCGTGGCGTTGGTGGTGGAGATGGCGACAGCGCCTGCCTGCGGTGGTGGTTGGTGGAGACTGGCGACCGTTGATCACTTCGTCCTGCCACCCTCATTTTGCTTTTAAGCCGCCAACGCCGGTCGAACATTCCTGGCAGGCAAATTTTTGTTTTTGCATTTTTCATTTTTTTGCTCTTCATTGGATTGCACTTACTTGCAGCCATATGTACATATGTATTTATTGCTGTCGATTTCTTACACAGAACTGTCGATTAGTTTATTAAAATATACATATGTTTGTACTTATATACAAATCGATGTGTATGTATGTATGCATGCAAATCTGACGCCTTGCCGCAACGCATCCTTTGTGGTTACTTGAGCGGCTTCTCACAAGCTCCGAAAGTGCCTCTCATTGCCATTCATCGCCTGTCCGACGCTTAGCTTTGCCCGACTGTAAGACGCTCCGCGCATCACGACACACCACACCGCACTTACTTTGACCGCATGCGCAGCACGTGTTCGCCTTGATTACTTTTGCCATTGGCGCGCATTTAGCATTAGCTGGTTATTATTGCTATTGCTATTGCTGTTGTTATGGCTATTGTTGTTGTTGTAGATCGTGTGGTGCATTGGTGTCATCGTCGGAATTGTCTGTTGGCTTCTAATTTAATATTGATTGCTGTTGATGGCAATGGCGGCGATGTGATGCTGCTTTCTAGTTTAAATGTTGCTTCATTGTTGTTATTGTGTGTGGTGTTGCTGTGTTGCGGTGTTGCGGTGTTGCCGTTATTTGCTTTGCTTTTATTTTGTTGCTATTGGCGTCAATATGGTGTTGCATTCCAACTACTCAATTCGCCTAAGCAATCGATGAAGTGGAAATGTAATAGCATAAATTATATTGGAAGTTTTGTCAGTTATTGTTGTTGTTGATGTTGTTGCTTTGCAATGTATACATAGCACTTTCTGCCAAGAAATCCACTACAGTTGTCGGCGTTAAAGCGTGAAAAATTGACATTCCGTTGTTAGGCTTGTAATGCACAAAGAGATTCATAAGACCTTTCATTTATAAATTTCTATGATAGAGGCATAGCGTTTACAGTTTTACTCGTGGACAGGGCAAAACTTCACTCAATGTGAAAACTTTGTCAACTCTGTTTCTCTCNTTGTTGCTTTGCAATGTATACATAGCACTTTCTGCCAAGAAATCCACTACGGTTGATGGCGTTAAAGCGTGAAAAATTGGCATTCCGTTGTTAGGCTTGTAATGCACAAAGAGATTCATAAGACCTTTCATTTATAAATTTCTATGATAGAGGCATAGCGTTTACCTGTTTTACTCGTGGACAGGGCAAAACTTCACTCAATGTGAAAACTTTGTCAACTCTGTTTCTCGCAGATTCAAAATTTTTGAGCTGCGACCAAGAGGTCTATTGTGACCTCAAACATTCATAGTACCTCAACCAACCCTAGAGATCCCAGAAATCTGCTTGCCTTGTACCTTGTAAGGTTGTATTGTTCTCTGAATCTGTACCTCTCCCTGCTGAGCTAGGTGCTATAGGAGACGAGGTGGCCGCCGTTCTGGGTAGCCGGTCTGCTTCCTCGTTACTCTCAACTCCTATGTGGCCTAGTATCTAAATTAGTCAGATAACATTGTGCTCCGCCAGGACGTTAAGCCTATCAATGCACTCAAGAACTGGGGATAGGAGTTTACCTCAAGTGATGAGAGGGCCTTGAGTGCCGCCTGGCTATCACTCAATTTTAGAATTTTCTCACTGCGGTAATTTCTGCGTAGGTTAATCTCTGCGNGATAGGAGTTTACCTCAAGTGATGAGAGGACCTTGAGTGCCGCCTGGCTATCACTCAATTTTAGAATTTTCTCACTGCGGTAATTTCGGCGTAGGTTAATCTCTGCTTACAGACTAATCGCATAG